GTATAGCACAGGGAACTATATTCGATACCTTGTAGTAGCTTATGGTGAAAAAGAATATGAAAACAAATATATGTGTATTCATGTATGACTGAAGCATTGTGCTGTACACCAGAAGTTAACATAACATTGTAAACTGACTATACTTTAATAAAAAAAAGTTTAAAAAATTTTAATATTAAAATGGATATTAGCAGCCATCTAAGACTTAAACAATTCGTCAAGGTCTAATCTTGGCATAATCAGACTAAGAATCCAGAACTCCTGAAATACAGCTTAGTGCTATTCCCACCCATGAAGCTGATGACAAAAGGAAAACATCAATTCTGGACAACTGATCTCAAAATGAATTCTCAGGTCTTTATGGAAAGATCTAAACAGTTATTCTGAAAGCTTCACATGTGGAAAATACTAGAACCATAAAAAAAATTTCATTTCTCCCTGCAAAGATTTCAGTGGAGTCCAAGAAATTTTAATATGAATGATATTAAGAATGATCATGGGCCCACAGAAAATGTCTCTCAGATACTTCATAAATTTTAACCTGAGAAAAAAATCTATGAATGGAAACACCTTTTTAAAAAGGGACAATTATGCCAACATCCTTGAAGGTAAAGTTATCTTTTCCAGTGCATCAAATAACAGAAACCTGTTACCCTACTTCCAACATCCCAACAGTGCAACCAGCAGTCATGAGGAAACCTGGTTACTCTGAGTTGGTCGGGATAAACAAGGTCTCCTGTGGGCATACAGATGGTAGCAATGCCTGAGGGGATTCATTTGGTTCCAGGTTCAGTCCAACCGTTTGAAACCATGTCTAGAACTCTCTAATTTATTTTTAAAAACATGGTTACATGTAGATAATAAAAGTTTTGAAACTCTTCTTCTGAATTGCATAAATCCAATAAAAACCAAAACCAAACAAGAGCCTTAACAAATGGGATAAAAGAGAGAATAATTATATCAGATTACAATCTAAGCCAAGGAAAGAAACCATGAATATACTAACGTGCTTTCTGGCAATCAAGGCAAAAAAAAAAAAAAAAGAAACAATATTCTCATCAAAAAGAAGTATGCGTGTCTCTCTAAAGTTTTCTTTGCATAAAATCTGAAACAACTTTCTAAATGTAAATCTTTATTTAAGAGCACTAAGTAACATCACAGATAGTTCCTTCAAAAGCACTCTTATCAAATGTATAAAAGCCTATGTCGGTGGATATTGTTCCGTTAACTGTTAAGAGCTCAGAATTCCAATTTCTCTTATTTCCACATTTTGATGAACTACTAATTGATGTAAAATCAAATTGCTTTGTTTTGAATAGCAGGGTTTCTCTCTGCTTTAATATTCATAAAACTCTCTACAGAGGAGATATATGAGTTAACAGCATTTTTCCAAATTTATTTAGACATAAAACCCTTTTTTTCTAATGCTCCTCACAAGAATGTGTTTTATAGAACACACTTTGGGAAACCCCTATAGTAGATCTCAGCTCCATTCCCTTTATGCTGTGTTATCTTATAGACCACTGATAGAAATTAGATGTTTAACCCAAAATGGGCTGTAGTTGCCTTCAAAATGCACGTTCCCTTTGTTTAGTTGGTACAAGTATTAAAGCAGTTGCAGAAATGTTAGGAATCCATGGTGCCATGGTCCCTGACCTCCCTGCATAGAAATGGAATACAGCATCCTTGTAAATGACCTCTTGACAATAGCAGTCAGCATTCCCTGGGAAACACATGAATGTTCTCTTAGAGTGACTTAGACTTGGAGGATGGGAGGGGGAGAGGCAGAAGAGGAAGAATCTTTGAGGGAGGAAGTTTAATGTGATTTCTCCATTCCAGGGAATCTGCATAGTCCAAGGCATGGTACTTACATGGCCATGTTGATCCAGTTCATTGTTGGTGAGTTTCACCTTTTCAAAAGACACCATCTGTTTGAGTAGTTGCTCACCAGTAAAAGGAGAATCTGGGTGTACATACAGCCTAAGAAAATTATGAGAGAATTTTACTGAGACTTTTTTTTTTAAATCTGTTCTCTGTGGGTTATAAAATATTCTGATTCTAAAGAAACAAAAAAAAAACTCATATAAATGGTGAATTTTATTTGCTTCATATAATCTCAAATTTAATAATACAGCAATACCAAAATAACTCGAAAACATCTAAATGTGTTTCTTTGTGCATCAGTGATTTAAAAGGGGTAATACTTAATATATTTTTGATTATTTACTGAGCAAGCTATTGTTTTTTAAAGGTGGGGTTTTTCCATTTATCTAATTGACTACTGGTCTGCTTCTGTCAAATATAAAATGCTATTGTTGTAGATATTTTCAAAAGAAAGACTAGGTTATACTAAATGCCCAGTGAGTTCCTAGTATAATCATTGCTAAAAAGCAATGAAGACAAAAGAATTTAGAGAGGAAATAATTCTAGAGAATCTATTCATTTATACTTGAAGGTGACTCAGTTTAAAGTTTGTGTTCTTTATAAACACAAGACAGGGTTATCTTAATACAGTGACCTGGGGAACTTTTTAATATTCCACAGATCACATAATCTGTTGTTTCTCTTGGTACCTTAAATGTTATTGCTTTCATCATCACCCAGTTAAGCCCTTACTAAATGAAAGTGAAAACAAGCTGAGTAAGCTTCAGATTATTCAATGTATTTATTTGTAAACAGCCTAAGGAAAAAAAAGGCTTTGCTGGGAAAAAATGTACTTGTCAAGTATTTATCATTTATTGATCAGCTGCTTAAGGCAGTCTTTTACTCACTCACAGTTAAATGCTGGAATTTGTTCTACCTGCAAATATCGCACTAAATACAGCTCTTTATAAATCCCAATCCTTGTGTCCACTCAGCGTAAGTTTTTCTGAAATTAGGGGAGATTGTAGAACTAATGATAAGAGAAAGAAATATCCTTGATTTAATGAGACAAATTCCCTTATCCATGCAACGGTTTATTTATATCTATATTTTTATAGGATCCTTGTAACTATAATTAATAAATATTATGGTTGGGGCAAAGGCAAGGAAAAAAGTCAGAAAACCTTTTCTTGCAATATTCATGTAAAGAACAAGATGTGTATGTTGTGGTTTGTTACACAGAGGACCAAGAATAGAAGAATTGAGTACACATGCTGAAACTCACAAGGTCCACCAGAAGCAAAGCACAAAACAGGCTGACAGTGCTAAAGAGTCTTACCAGACCCATACAAGAACTTTAAAGGCTTTATGTGTTTGTCTGCCTGTGATTTTTTTTTAGGAGTTTTCAAAATTGCCTTTCAATTGAAGCTTTCTTTGATGACATAACCATAATAGTTTTTCAAATGTCACCCCTCCAAGGCTATAACTTTATAGGTGCAATTGTTTTACTAAGCAGCACCACATCCTACCCACTCCTCCAGAAAAGGCTAAAAAATATTTAAAGTCCTAGAAGCTAATGAGATGTTCCCTCTTTAAGTATCAGTTCACTGTATATGATAACATTGATAGAGATTAGTTTATTTAAATATTGACGACTTTTAAAAAAGGAAATGTTCTACATGAAAATATAACATTATTTAGATTGTGTATAATGTCTTGTCCATTGTTATGATCAAATGATATTGCCAAGACTTATTCCTTCTGATTAGGAACAACTGACTGATGAACTTCAGTCTGAAATAAAATGCTTTAAAGAACTAGAACCACAATGAATTTCTACTATCGGACAAAAATTATCACCTCCCAAGTTGTTCACCTTTCCCATATGAAGCTAGAAAATACAGCACTATGTCTTCTAATAACAGAGAATAGTTGCTTATATGATCTAGAATATTTCTATCCTGTAATGAACAAATTATTTTTATCTATTATCAATATAAATAAGTTGAACTAGGATGAATGAAAAAGCATACAGGAAGCCCCTCCTCTCTCAAGTCCCCTGAGACTTAAAATTCCAGCAATAGCTTAAACATGCTTCAGTTAAGATAGTGTCTTGGTACATGCTTTCCTTCTCCAACCAGAGCAGATTAGTAACATAAACAAGGCATGTCATATTTCCAACTGGCCTGCACCAGTTCCCCATACCTTCAGATAGGAGGGAAATGTATGCTAAATAAGAGTGATTAACTTCTTAAAGGAAAGACTTAGAAAAAAAAAAGAGAGAGAGAAGGGGGCTTGCTTATAAAAATGGTTAGGAATCTGCTAAAATACTTCTCTCTCTTTCTTCTTTCTTCCTCTCTCTCCCACTTAAAATTTTTTTAAATTTTGGAAGGAAGCTCTAGGGCAATGTGAATTGGCTAGTTAATAGTAGAGAACACTAATCATATTCATTTTAATATCTACTGGAAATTGTAAATCTTGCTTAGTTTTTTTTTAATGAGTGACATTTAAAAAAAAAGTCTTAGTCCTGACTGTTACTTAGTATACTGATTTGGAAGATCTGGGAAGATGTCCTTCCTAGTCTCTTGTGGGAATGGAAAACTCTGGGAGGCTTCTTTTAATCTCTTCTCTACTGTATTTAACATACTATAGGCTCAGTGATGTGATCAACTACTAAGTAAGCTTAATATTCCATCTGAACTGTATGTGTAAATTGTCTGTGTTGATTCGGTGCCTTGACTTAGACTCCAAACTACATTACTTAGGAGGAGACAGCCATAACTTCAAGTTCTTAAACCTATACATTTAAATAAATTCTTAGTTCTGATATGAACTTTCAATCAATTACAAAAAATTACATAGTCATAAAACTATTTTAAAGCTTTAAGGCCTGGCTTTAGAACATTTATGTAAAGTCAGTTAATATTAAAGTATGCAGCTAGATTCTTGTACTTCAGCCATTAGTATTCATGTGAGTAAAAACACGCTTTTTTTTTCCCTCCAGAAAATTCATTTGGGCAAAGCAGCAGCAAAAGGTTTGCATGTCGTTTTTTAAACAGGGTTTTCCTGGGAAAAGATCACCAATAAATAGCACAAAAAGAAAAAACACTTTTTGTTTGGATGTATTGAGTAATTTTTCAGTAAGAGAATATTAAACTGATGTTGAATTACCTTCATCCACTAAACTTATTATGGAGAGGGGAAAAAGAAAAGAGTTTATCTTACTTAAAACCTCTGAGCCTTTTACTAGTCAAAAACAACCACATTTTCCCAAAATGATGTTTATTGTGTGCAGTTATAACCACATTATAACAAATGTTTACTATAAGCAAATACTTTACTAAAATGCACACGTCTGAAAAGGATTTTAGGGTAACTACTTCATCAGTAGGTTTCATGTTAGCCAAACAGAAATGATAGGTGCCATATGAAATGGGTCCAGATTTCCAATATTCCAACTGAAATTTAAGGAAAACTTTGAAATGAATTATGAGGAAAGATAAAATTAAAGACAATATTCTATGTGCAAACTCTGCTTTTCTCAGAGCCTAGCCCATATTTTGTATAGTTAATCCTGGAGCGCCTGGGCTTGGAATGCTCTCTTACCAGAACTCATGGCTTTAAAAACAGACCTGCTTAACATTCAAACAACCAGGGCCAGAGACATTCAGCCAGCAAGGCTAATACACATTTTGCTCACGCAGACGGAAAATCTGGAGGCACAAACCTGGCTGGCAGTGGCGGGTCTGCTTTGCCAGCCACCAGCCAGGAGGACCGGTGGTAGGCATAGCGGTACCTCTTGTTGTCCACCGGGACGATGTCCATCAGGACTATGTACTTGGCCTCAGAATCCACACCGGAAAAGGACACCCGGATGGTAGGAAACATCCTCCTGACACAATCAGACAAAGAGAATTAGCCTGAATTAGATAGAAAGGGAGAAAAATTTTCTGCCTTCCCTTCCTACCCAGCCCCCAAACTCTTTTTGTTTCCTGTAAAGCAACAGAGACGTGAATAAGGAGACTGACCTTCTCCCAAGCCTAGATAATCTTAAGTGTCACCTCTACAGGAGTCCTCATTAATACCCGAAGGTCTGTGATTAGGGAAAATCCTGTACTACATCATCAAGCCCATTACAAATCCCGGACCTGAAGTCTGCAGAGCAGACGGAGTCTGGAAACCTTGCGTTGTAGGAAGAAAACTCTACTGCCGTAGAAAGTGAGACAGGGGTTCTCAGGCTGGGTTTTGGGAGACTCTCTGGGGTGCTGAGGGCTGCAGCGATCAGGTACCAAGGGCCACCAACCCCCAAGCCTTTGCCCCAATCCTGGGGAGCCGCCCGCCCGCACCTGAGACTTCTGCTGGCCCCGCCCGGCTGCAGTGCCAAGGGCTCCACTGTACCAGCGCTCCTTCCTACCGGGAGTGTGATCGTTTCAAATTTCATTGCTTCTCCCAGATTTTAATTTTCATTTTTAAAGGGAGCTTCTGCAAATTGAGGCCAGTAAAAGAGAAGCCACCTGCCTCTCTCATGGCACCCAGCTGCACGCGCTATACCCAGGCAGGACTTGAATTCCGGCTTTCTGCCAGATGCCGACCCTGCACCCAAAAGCCATCCCAGGTTGCAGGGGAGGGCAGAGATCCCCCCATCGGAGCCATTCTCCAAAGGCTGGGGCGGGGCTTCCCACAGCCAAACATCAAGAAAGCAAATGCTTTGACATCTGTCTCAGCAGCTTTTTCCAAAAGCAAGTCAATGGAAAGAAGCCCTCCTTGATTGAAGCTTCCTCTCTCAAGCTCAGGACCAGCATAGTTTCACCCTGTTCCTGGATACTCTCTATGACACCTAGGGCACCATTCCCTTCTCCCCACTCCTCACCCCACAAGGCCCCCTGCTACCTGCCAGACTTGGTGATGATCATCTCTGTGCCCAGCTCATGGAATTTGTCCCAGAGCTCCTTGGTCTCCAGGCTGCAGGCAATTTTGGCCATTTCTTCACTGGGGATGATCGGGGTAGTGGGGATCAGTGGCTCGGTGCACAGAGAGGAGGATGGGCTGCTGCTGCCAGCGCCGCTGCCACCAAACTCCCCATGAGCGTCTAGGCTGGTCAGCTCGCTGAGGGGCTGAGCGCAGGATGACTTCTCAACAAATTGTTCTGCAGGCAAAGAGAATTGAGAATGGCAGCTAATGCTGTCAAGCAAAGATACAGGAAGGAAAACAACTAAAATAGGTACCTGGATTTGACTTCGAAAAAGTTACACTCAATCTCTAAGAGGGCGTTGATAACCCATCACTATATAAATCAAGCGTGAGATTCCTGTGGACACGGTTCCTGCTTGCTTACTGAACCAAATGAGAAAGTTCTAGAAATATGGTTTGTTACCATTACAGAAACTCAGTTTGGAGAATAAAAATGTGAGAAGTGGATAAAGGGAAAGGCAATGATCATGAAGGATTAAAAGCAAGCATTCGTCTGGCTATCTCTCCCACATTCTAGACTTCACCACTTGTGAGGTCTAGTGCCAGTCCTCCTTCTTTGACCAAAAGGAGATACTTTTCTCCAGGGAGACCAAGGGAGTGAAGAGATCATCACCTTCCTCACTTTGAGAACTCAACTTTCCCTCCTGGAGCCCTCTCTCCATAAAAGAAAATGAAAAGGGGGTGTAGTGTGTGTGTTGCAGGGGAGGATGTGATTTTTAAAAAACTAAGTCACTTCTGTGCCTGGCTCTCAGTTTCCTAGGCTTTCAGATGTTAGACTAGAGCATTTTTATAATACCCCTCCAGCTTAATTAAGATCTTATGAGACTAGTATATTGCTTGTTAAATCACAGGAGTACTCCCTCGGCCAACTTTTTGGACAATCTGGAAACAATACTTAAGGGGTGATGTATATATTTCTCTTTCTCTCTCTGTCTCTCTGTCTCTCTCAAAAACATTCTGGAAATGAGGAAAACAACCACAAATTCAGACTAGCGGAGTATTTAAAGTAGGAATAACACTGCCATCCACCATCAGGCTGTAATACCACTGCCTACGAACCAAACATTTTCTTCCACAGCTGATAAGGGCTTGGGACTACAACAGTCACTTTGATGGAATACAGGGAGAGTTTTGTAATTATCCCAATTATCTTGCATCCCTTAAAAAAGAAACTACTTGAATCCACAATGTGAAACTGATCTCCAAACAACTCTCTTCTAAGTGCCCTCAAGGAACTGAAACAAGTTTCATGTGTGTGTGTGTGTATACACATATATTGTGTGTGTGTATATATGTGTGTGTGTGCATACATATATATATATGGTGTTTTATTTCTCTTTGACTTGGGGCAGGCAAGCAGGAAATAGAGAATTTTTATCTTGTCTTCTCTTACAATAATAATGCAACTCATGGAAACATTTTAAATTAAGAATAGTCAAATTAATTATCTTACTCTTCTGTTTCCAAATTCAAAGAAAGAGAACCATGTCATGGTAAAATCATGTTTTCTCCTAATGCTTTCAGAAACATATTCACATAACGTCTTTATAGGGAATTAACAAGTAGCCTGAGATATTTTCTGACAATTGAAAAGGGCAGACTAACCAGTGTGTCAGGTTGGGAAATGGATGAAAAAGAAAATGATACAGAAATTCTCTAACACAATGTTATATGTCAGTATACCTCAATTAACAAAAATTTTTAAAGAAATGTTCTAGTGGTCTGAGGTGGCTCTTCTAAATAGACTTAATGTGTTTAAATAAACAATCATGAGACACTTGTGAGCCTCTCCCTACAGTTTCTTCAGTATCTCACTAGTGTTTCAAGGTACAACATTCTCTCTTTAACAGGTATTTCACTTGCTGGAATCCTTGACTTACAGTCACTAATCTGTGCTCTGTTGAACTGGCCCGTGAAAGGGAATAGAATGCTTTCTGGTTCTTTCAAAGCCCGTCTCAAAAGCTTGAGGAGGGATGCTCTTTTTAGAGACTGGGGTAGGGGTGGGGGTGCTGTGGGCTGGGAATGGCTTTATAGTTTAGAATTCAGAGGAAGGTGGTTTTTCCTCAGTATAGTAGAGAAGAAAGCGACGTTGAAATGACGGTGGAGCTGAAACTGGCATGTTTTCCAGTCTGCTGTCCGTACTTCTGTCAGGAATTTAAACCTGAAATCCTCTTTTCATGCTAGCTACTAAACTGTAATGGGGGCATTTATAAAGAATTTGGAGGCCCCCTAAATAAAATTGGATGGTGTTGGGAAGCCCCACAAACGTAACTTTGAAATTGGTAGCTAATTTTTTTCTAAACAGTTGTGGTTTGTCGGACTGGTTGTTTTTATTTCTTTGGCAGGTTTAGGTTTAGATGGGAGGGTAGGTGAGAAGAGTCAGGGAAGGGGAGTGAAAACCTTGGAGGAGAGACTTTCTGACATGTTTCCTAGAGATCTTCTTGTTTCCTTTTCCTTGGTTCTGAGTTGCTACAGTGATTTTAGTTCTCTCTCCTCTCTCTGCCCAGGCCCCATATTTTTCATTTCTAACATTTCATCTTTCATATTATTGTTGTTTCAGATGTGAGATATTAAAATGTTGGGAAGGACAGGGAAAAGAAAGAAGAAAATTGGGAACAGTTAAAAAGTTTTTAAAAATACTACTCTTAGTTTGCTATTTTATGTTTTCCACTGTTTTAGGGCTACCAGATGATGAGGATGTATAATAATTATTACCCAGGGATTCAAGAGGTGGTGACGAGAACACTTCTTTCTCTCTCAGTTGTGAAGGGACTTTGAAACACTTATCTCCAGCAGTTTCTTTTTCACACAACTCACTAGTGCTAAGGGGAATATAGTCCCTTTTCTCCCTTTACTCCAAGCATAGTGTCTTCTATAAATGGTAAAGTTTTTAAATAAACAGTATAGCTAAAAGTTGAGGAATTTGGGAAATGGTTACTGGCTAATGTTTTTGCCAACCTCCACTGAAGTGACGGCAGTTATAAAATGATGTCTTTCTGATAAGTCTAGAGCTTCTGTGAAGAAAATGGTTAACACAGGGAGAACTGGCTTATTCTACGGCACTTGACAGTGGTATTAAGGAGCTAAACTCTGTGTGGTCTAGCTATTCAAGTCGGGGGAAAAACAAAATCAAGCTAGTTTCTTGTGAAGTCAGAGTCTCCTTGGTTTCAAATGCACAAGCGGGTGTTACAAGCATCATAAATCCTGTTGAGTCCTAAAGGGGGGGATATTATTTATCCGTTAAGTGTTTTTATACCCCAAAAGTTACACACACTCACACACGCATATGTCCAACTTGACATAGGGATCTTAGACAAATAGGTAGGGAAAGCAGCTAGCAATTTGCGAGATGCAAGACCAGTTGCATTTAACAGACTATGTAGCCCCCAAAGAATTTGGGCTGAAAAGAAAAATGTCTCGCCTGCAATGCATGGCCAATAGCTTGAGGATCAGAGTTGCCAAAAGCCAGCCGGGAAAGGTGGCCACTTTTGACGGAGCGACAGACGACTGTGCAGCACTCCCACCCCTGCCCACCACGGACTCTCAGGCAGCCCGACTTACCCAGGGGTTTGATTGTGTTCTCCGTAGCTTCCTTCTCTTTGGAGCCGCCGCTTGACATCAGCGCGGCGATGGAGAAGGCGTTGGCCCTGGAGGAAAGCTGGGGCTTGGGCGATGCCGTGAACTCCATGGCCCCCTGTGCGCGGTCCCGGCCAGGGACCGGGTCTGCCGAACTGCCGTCCAGCTTCCCCAAGGGAGACAAAGACCGAAACAGCGCAAAGTTTCCGAATGCAGTCACAGGGGAGCCCGGGACTCCAGATGAGTCAGTCCCAACCGTCCAAGAGCTCCACACTGGCTTCTCTTCTCCCCCACTGCAAGAGCCCTGGAGCCGCAGAGACTTTGAACTAGCCGGAGAAGACGAGAGAGGACCAACCACGGGCTCAACCAGGTGCGCAAGCACCGAGGCGCTCCGCTGGACCACAGGCTGCGCCGCCGTAAGCTGAACACGAGCATCAACTGCGCAAAGCCCAGGGGTCCAGCAGCACCCCCTCCGCGTGCTCCTTCCCTCCGCACTCTGGGGACTGTCGGAGCGGCCGAGTGCCGCTGAGACGGGCGGATGCCTGGGAGCCCGAGCTTGGCCGTGCGAGCGCGGCGGGGCACGGAGGACACTGCGCCCCGACGTTCGCAGCCCTGCGCCTTAATTTGCTGGCAGCGGCGATCCCGGCGGCCCGTAGCCAGTCAGCGCCGCCACACGTCACCGCTTCCTGATTCCACCGCCGGGGGCGGGGCAGCGGGCCGAGCGGGAGGGTGCACCCTGGCCGCGGCGTCCGCGTGGCCTGGCGCCCATTCGGGTAATGGGGTGCCACCACCAGGCTGGCGCAGAGGCTGCGGACGCTCCCCGCCTGGTCTCGCAGTCCCGCGGTGGGAGGGAGGTGCGAGCTGTCGGGAGGGGACATTTTTGTGGCTTTCTGAGACCTGGAATCCCACAGTGGCACAGTGCAGGAAAGGATACCTCAGGAGTTCTTGCTGCTTCTGTTCTTTTTGTTACTGGTGCTCAAAGTTCCAAAAGAAAGTTGGAAAGCGCTAAATAGGGCAGAAACCGGCGCTGCAGAGCCGGCGCCAACGGACCAGATCCTATTCGCGCTGCAGCACCCAGGGCTTGGTCCCCTCACTCGTTGGGCTCCAAAATCTGACTGCTAGGCAGTGGGGCTTGAGAGACGCAGCCCTGCAAAAGATACGCTAAGGAAGGGCTGTGAGTATTTTGCAAATGATGCTCTCAGAACTAAGGCTGCTTCCGCACACCGGGGCGCCTCTCACTCTGGGTTCCTATTCTTGAGAGGAGCTCTGGAAAGTAGGGCCTCGACTGAAGGGAAGGCAAGGAGCGAACGCGGTTCCGGGGGTGAGGCACCCTGCTGGGACCACGCGACGCGCAGTGGGAGAGTGCGAGCCTTAAGGCGCCCGGGCTTGATGGACACGGAACCTTAGCCTTCACAAACTCAGCTTCGACCAGGACTTCCCACGGCCTGATGGGGGTCGTCCTGTTGTCCTTGTTCAGCTTGAATAACTCAAATTCTCCGAATTCGCAGGGTAATCCGCTTCACTCGGAGCCGTGTAAACTCAGGCTGACACATACACTCAAGCTGTACATGTAAATATTTGCGCTCCTTTCCAGCCAGTCGGTCTGGCTATTACAAGCCTCTTGGTGGGTCTTAAAAAGAAAAAAAGAAGGAGGAGAAGGAGGAGAAGGAAAAAAGAAAAAGAAAGGAAAAAGGAAGGAAGGAGAACAGCCCTGGTTTCCCACCAGCCTTTTTCTCTCTCCACTGCACACACATTCCTCATCCACTGAAATAAACTAATGAGGAAAAAAAAACTGACAGTCAAAAGTGGAAAATGTCCGTGTAAGTAAAATGATGACACCTGGGAGACTCATGACTTAATGTCTTGTCATCGTGTATCAATAGTTTATAATAATGTGCAACATGAAGGTGACTAAGAAACATTCTGGTATCAGTCTCGATGTACCGAATGTGTATGTGTAAATTCGAGGAAATTCGTAAAACCATAGATTTTTATGCTAGAAGAGATTTACACCTTCGTCTAGCCCATGTCTATTTGCTTTTGAGAGAGAGAAACCCGGACCAGCGTGCCGGAGTGGCACATCTCCCCTACAGTGGGCACAGCCTGCTCTAGGCGCAGGACCCGCACTCCAGGCCGAGACCTTGATCACACCCCGAACTCTGCAGCTGTGCCTGGGCTATTCACGGGAGATCGACAGTAGAGTTAACGCCGGCTGAACGCTGCATGCTTTCAGATTAAACCGCGGTAAGAATAGGGGCTAAAACACCGCATGCGCCTGAGGATCCGTTTCCATTCCTTGGTCCTTTGCTGTTTTGGGATAACTCAGACCCAACCTAGACCCGATCTAGACCCTTGGGTTTATAAAGCTTACCCCCAACACACACCGCACCCAATTTCAATAAATGCAAGAGTGATATTTCTTTCATTTGAATGTAAGGCTCAAGTTGATTCCTTTCCTGTGTCAAATGCTTAGAGTTTGGCCAGGAAGGAGGATTTCTGTCAAGAAGTTGTTTCTTTGTGTTGGGGGGAAGGGTGGTGGGTGGAAGGGTGTTTGTTTTTGTTGAGTAATGTTATGGTTAGTCCAGAACTTTATGCTTCAACTGGGCATCGAAAGTCATGTTTGCTGGTTTTAGTTTTCAAAAATGTATTGTGGAATTACACTTAAATTAAAAAACAAAACAAAACCTTAACATTGCATTTCTACCCAGAGGTAACATCGTATCTTTCTTAAAATTGTCTTAATGATTCTGAGTGGAATTCGAATAATTTTATGACAGGGACGTTTTTAGAAAAAGTGGCCGAGCAAGGGGAAATACCATTTGCTCCCAATCAGTTTCCATTTCTTTTTCCAGTTGCCTACACGACCTTAGGTTCTGGGTTTCTAGTTGGCAGCGAACTTCGACTGTTCAGCCTGCTAAAGGCAAAACAGGAAGCTAAGCTAGCGCACAGAGGCAGGCGGCAAATCAGAGGAACTGAAAAGGCTACTTTAAACAAATCCGGGCAGAAGAGGTGAGCCGTTTGGGAATCCCTAAAAAGTGATGCATCTTGTTGGTGATGAAACCGCGGCAATAAAATGTATACTACAACATAATTATCGGGGCACACTGTCCCTTCTCTTCGATTTATTGTCTTTGCAAATCAATAGGGCGCTATAAAAACGGGGAGCCGGTGCCAGGCAGAGAGGTTCCGTCACAGGGTGATTGAAAGACCACCCGAAAAGGAGATCGCCCAGTTCTGAGGTCGCTTCAAAACCCCAGTGTTAGAGCGGGTTAACAGGTGAAGCCAAGGGGTTGGAACAAAGCAATCACATTAACACTTCCCTGCAGGCTCTTCTTAGGCTGCCGACAGGCGGGCGGGGGCTACTCACGGATACCAGAAAGTGCATTGGACTTGGAGAAGGCTTTGAATCTTGACTTTAGTCCGCTTTAGCCCCAAAACTCAGTGTAGGTTACCTAAATTTCTCAAAAATTCTATTTCACTATCTACGTTAAATTGGGGCCAATACTTTATTCCTATCTAGAGAATGGTTTTGTGGATTAAATAAAATAACGTGCATAAAACGCCTAAACAGTTATATCAACATAAGTAAAGCATAAACACATAATTTTATTAAGTTTAATTTTTATTGCAGTTTCGCGATTGCAGAGGCGTATCTCGCGTGCTCATGTAGAGTTAGCTGTGTAGACAATTTTGGAATGTACGCAGAGGACTGGGGTCCTCTGTTACATTACATCGTCGTAATGGACCATTATTTACATCTTGCTAAAATTCAGCGCCTAGGAAGTAAAGTTTGGGGTTGTATGTCTGAATTTGCTTGTACGGAGTTTGATTATATGGAGGACTCGAAGATGTCTCCTTATACATGCCACCCTTTCAAATTCTAATTTGTAGCCCCTGAACTCAAAAGTTGGTCGATCCCAGAACTGTTCTGGAAGAAACGATTTCCCGATTTTGGCCAACAGTTCCTGGCTTAATGAACGTTACAGCTAACGCGGAACTCTCCACTGACAGCAGTAGAGACCCGCCGCCCGCGCTGGGGACGAGAGCGGCGCAGGAAGCCGCGGGAGCCCGTGCCAGAGCTAGAGCGCCTCCGGGTACCCGAGGGCGAGAAAGGAGATCCACTTTTCGATGCATGGCAGCTCTACTCCTAAATGTGCCCCGAGATCCCGTCCCCATCCTCTCTTCTGCTCTTTCTGGTAAACGCCTTAAAAGCAAAAGTAATCGACTTCGGTGCTTTGGATTCCTGAATTCGATTTACCAAACAGGAAAGATACGAAGCAGCGTGGGGGAGGCGGGCCTCAGCCCCTTGGAGGCCACTGCTACAAGTCCCGGGGGCGCGCCAAGAGCAGAGCGCGTCCCCTCACCGAGTAGAGAGCGCGCAGCGCGACCTCGGATATCACCGCGGGGCGAGAGGGCGGATCTGAGCCATTCCTCGCAGCAACCGGGCCAAGGTTCAAATGCACTCCATGATGGGGTTGTTTTCTTGAACCCAAGCGGCCCCCGAGAAGCGCCCGCTCCGGCCCAGGCCGCAAGAGCGGGCCCAGAACGTCCAGCGTTTGAGCCCACCCTGGCGTCCCGAGGGCCGGGTCTTTCAAGGTAGCTTCGCCCAATTCCGGTTCTAAGGGCAAAGCTAAGATGAGCTCCTCGAGGGGCGCGGCCAGAGTACGTCGTCTGACGGTCCCAGTGTATGTGTGTAGGGTGTGGGTGTGTGTGTGTGTGTGTGTGTGTGTGTGTGTCGTCCCGCGCCCGCGCGCCTGTAGAGCCCGGGACTTGACGCTCGCGCTCAGCTGGAGAAGCCAGGAAAGGATTGCAGTGAGGCCTTAAGGCAGATCACACCCATCTCTAGGGCCCACGTCCTCAGGTAGTGAAGGCGAAAATCCTTCAGGGCCAGAGTCCCCAGCAGTCTGGCATTCCCGGCCAGGCCTCAGGCTCGCGGAGGCCTGCAGCTGTGGGTGCGGCTCCACAGCGCGCGACCCCAGAGGCCGCCTAGCTTGCCCGCTCCGGGCCTCCTCCGGTTCCCAACGCGTGGCACCCCTGCGCCTACCACAGAGGTCAGCAGCAGAGCCTGGGAGCCTCCTTACGGGCTAATACCTCAGTGCTGTGACTCTCCCTCTCCTTCCCTCCACCACTGGCTTCCCTGTACATCTCCCAGGAGCTGGCGATTTCAAGGACCTGCCCTCGACGCTCCAGGCCTCCTCCTGACCAGGGAAGAACTCGTACGCTAGAGTTGGGGGCAGCGTGATCCCAGGAACAGCAAAGAAAGATCTTATCTGACCCTGTAGCAAGTCTAGATCACTGTCTCCGGCTCCTCCTACACTACCCCTCTTCCTCCACCGCCCTCCCTTCTCCTCCACACATGCTCTGGCCCCCTTCTCCAACCCTCCTTCTGGGACATCCCAGCAGCCTTCACTCTCTCAAATGCCGTGCTGCTGACGGAGTCTGTCTTTAATACTTAGACGTTTCCTACATCGTAATTTTGCATGAATTTCGATCTTTTAAGTTACTGCAGTAAGATATTACTTCTTGATTACTTAGGGTTTTTTTTTGGCACCCTCTAAAATTTTAGTATCTTATCCTAGTCTTAGCAGGGTTAGGAAGGTTAAGAATTTGATGGAAATTATACTGATAATAAGCAGTAGAGAT